ACAATGGGCAAAGAAAGATAACTCTGACTTGTAAGTGAGAATAGAACTTTCGAGATAAAGGCGGAAATAGTATCGATGACGTCAGAGACATATACACTCTCCATATCAAAATATTTAGACGTTCTATAGTCACTCTTCAAAATTTAAGAGTACGTTGGTTACCGCTTTCAGTGCATGTAAAGTTTGAAGTTGCCAGTGTAGTGTAAGTCTGTATTGACAGTTAATTGATTTACACATGAATATATCTAAAAAAAAATTAATATATATATGCTAGGTAGCTAATTCAAGAAAATATATTATAAGCACTGAATATACATTTATAGTGATGGACAGGCATACAGTTTTATCTATTTCGTATATTAAGTTCAGAATACGATAGTTATAAGCCTTCTATAATGCAGACGATTTATTATTCTCTATGATTTGAATGCGAAATTATCCCGATTTCCGAGTTTTACTTTCGATATTAAAAAATATTACATACACTCAAAAAAGGAATTAAGCGATAGAAAATTGTGATACAGTACTGTTTTAAAGCCTTTTTAAATAAATTGATATCTAGCTGCCACTGAAAAGAAAGAAAATCAATTTATAGATTAGATTTGGTTATTACATATATGTTTGATAAAAGGTTAAATTATATATGACACATGATCTATACTCTATATACCCAAGGAATTATAAAAGATGTGAAAAGGCGATTCTTGGATTCTTGTGAAATACTCAAAGAGTTAAAGAGTGTGTGAAATAATGGTACGCTATATGTTTCTTTTGAAAAAAAACATGATAAAAAAATTGCACAGGTCTGTTGATATGTGGGATAAGTATATCTGAATGAACACAATTTTATGCAATGATATATAATCATGTACATGCAACTGAGGTCCGTACATGTACTTTTCCTTATAATTCATAAAACATAAAATTATCTAATTCCTTTGAAGCCCCCCCCCCCGTCTTGATTAATATTTGGAGACGTTCGTGCAGCTAGGCATTTGAATTATATATTCTTTTTAGATTTAAATCTGGAACATGTGAATAACATTACCATTTACATGTATACAGAATTTCATATTTTATAATTATGAAATGTTCAATTTACATGTCTGAGAGAGAGAGAGAGAGGAGAGATTCCCTCTTAATCCCGATCCAGACCAAAAATTAGTTCTTTATCGGTCACACCCATTCTTTATTAGATGTTTTCTGATTTCATAGTCAGTCATGGTCACATCCTGTATATTTTTCAGCTTAAAAAGTATCACACGAAGTGCACGTGTGTTGACCTGTCAATCAAAATCACTTGACGCTGTATGCACTGCAATTAAGTAGCCTGAGTTCGAAATGATCTTGAAGTATGATCTTTAAGTAAATTTGATGCAATAAACTTGTGAAAGAATAGAATAAAATAAAAAATAAAATATCTCGGTATTATGAACTTCGATTGTGGGACGTGGAGACCGGTCCTTTGGATGAGATCGTATAAATCGAGCTCCCTTGTTGCAGAAGGTGCTGGCATAAAAAAGATTCCTCACTGCTCAATTGCGATAAGTGCCAAAGTATAGGACAAAAATTTGCAGTCTCCACCGGCGAGTGGTGGCATCTCCATATGAGTGAAAAATTCTGGAGAGAGACGTTAAACAACATCCGTATAATCAATCAATCAATCGATTGCTGATGAATAATCTGTCTTATAGGTATGCTGTCAAAACTTAATATTATAACTTTACAAAACTCAGTGACTTTACGTTTAATGTGATACTAACTTAATTCATTATATTTTTTTATAACACCATCACAATTATGCCAAAAAATATACACAGTGAAGTTTATGATAGTACGGTGTTCGTTCGTCTGTTTGTTTGTCTTAGAAATGATTGCAAACAATTTTTTTTAAAAATTGCAAATGATATACGTATATCTCTTATAGGTGCAAAATATTTTATACAAGATTGATAATGAAAATCAAAGTACCTTAAGTAATGAAAGGACTTTTTTCCAGTTATTTTTTTCTTTCACAGTAAATATGATATGTATGTTTTTTACACAGAAAAAAGCAAATTCTTACAGATTTAGAAGAACGGAAGACTTTTTTGTTGCCATGGCAACAAGAGTCTAGTTATTATTATTTTTCTTCCTGGGTACTTTTTTGTCCGTGAGTGATCTCAAACTATACATCCTATTGAGTTGAAACCTTTTTAGGGTTAATAGGAATGTTATGTAGATTTGCGGAACGAAGGTCATTTTGCGCGCACGTGCGTGCTCGTGCAATGAGTAAAATAACCAATGTACTTGATATAGCCATAACTTTCATATCTTTTGATGAAATACTTTGATACTCAGAATATAAGGATATATTAATAGTGTAGACAAGATGACATGGTCAGAATGAACATGCATGCACGAACGCGCATGCGCATTGACTGAAATAACCAATACAATTGACATAGACTTAACTTGTACATTTTTTGATGAATTGCTTTGAAAGTCAGAATATAAATATATATTAGAAGTGTAGACAAGGTGACATGATCAGCATTTGCATGCACGTGCGTGCGAGTGCAATGAGTAAAATGACCAATATACTTGATATAGCCATGACGTTTACATTTTTTTATGAAATGCTTTGATACTCAGAATATATAGACATATTATAAATGTAGACAAGACGACATTGACAACATGCATATGCATGCACGTGCGCGCGCATGCAATGCTAAAATGACCAATATACTTGATATAGCTGTAACTTTTATACTTTTTGATGAAATGATTTGATACCCAAAATATGTAGATATATTAATAGTGTTGACAAGATGACACGGTCATCATGGACATGCATGCACGTGCGCGCGCGTGTAATGCGTAAAATGACAGATATACTTAATATAGCCGAATTTTTTTTTATCTTTCAATGAAATTTGAATATAAAGATGTATTAAAAGTGTAGACAAGTTGACATGGTCATTTTGTACATGCATGCCCGTGCGCGCACGTGTAATGCGTAAAAAAAAAACCCAATATACTTTATTGCCTTATTTAATGAAGCTTACAGGGAATAAGACACCAAAAGGAAGTTGGGGAGCGTTTGGGGAACATCTGTAACGGTCCCCGTTACAATTAATACTAGTTTTGTATGGTTCTGAGATATGGATTTCAGACTTTAATATTAATATAAACAATTGTGATCAACTACCTTTTGAAAAGATACAGCATTAAATATTTAAAGTGTACAGAGAAAAGCTTCAAATTTAGCCATTAAATATGAGCTAGGAACACTTCCTATTTGTTGCAAAGCTTTCATCTCTATGTTTAAATATTACAAGAGACTAAAAAACAATAATAATAAAAATGGAATTAGAAATCAAATTCTTGTTGCTGCTTTCTTAGAAGATGACATTCTATATAATAATGATGTAAAGGATAATTGGCAGAGTCAGATTGAAAAATTAAAAAAGAAACTTAAACTTCAATCATTAGATATCACTGATAACACATTTAGCAGCTACTTGAAGAATTTCTACATAAAAAATGTTAATTTGCAACTTCGGAACATTGAATTCACCAAATGTGGTAAATTATTATTTTACAGTCAAATTAGAAAGAACTATGAATTACAAGACTACTTGAAATTTCCAATTAATAAATCTGTACGTTCTAAATTAACAAAACTGAGAATTTCTGCACACCCTTTACTTTAGAAACTGAAATAGGCAGATATTCAAAGCCTTGTATCCCAAAAGAATCTCGTTTTTGTCACTATTGTAAAAATGTTGTAGAAAATGAAATACATTTCATATATGACTGTCCTATATATAAAGATTTGCGAAAAAAGAATAACCCTTTGAACATCTATAATTTAAATGATAACATGTTGAAGGAAAATCATTGTAAAGTATTTTGTAATCCTGACAATGCAGTTCATTCTAGAAGGCTATGCGAATTTTTACATGAATGTTTTGAATTGCGTTCTAAAAATAGAGCACAATAATATATATTTAATGCATTAATTAGTTTATCTCTGTCCATATTATACTGTTTATACTATTTGCATAATGATTATGTATAACTTCAAGTTGTAAACGGATTTGTACACTTGCATGTATGTATGTATATACTTTAGTATATGTTTTAGTAATCTGAAAACACACTGTATTTTTCATTTTGTTTGTAACATGGTTGTATGCCAACATGTTTGGTGAATCAATAAAATAAATTGAAATTGAAATTGATACCGTGTGCCCCCCCCCCCCCTCCAATCATTCTAATAAGCTTTAAAAAAATGTATCGTACTGTCATTTTAAAACCGACTTTACAGACTGATTTATGAACATTATTGACGGGGAAATCATACATTTTGGAGAAATTAGCGGTCCATATTTAGTAAATATAAACATGCTATCCACATTTTTGGTCCATGTGAACATCTGTGTGTAACGCTTGATGTAACTTTTTAATAAATTTTAAAAAAAGGGGATTTGGGGTTAAATATGCCATGTACAAGCTAGTGATGATTGAAATTAAATTTTAGTTTCCGAAAAAGTATCGAATATATTCGACTATCGTTCGAATAATGCAATCGAATATTCGACTAAAGAAAATAAATATTTTGACATCCCTATTTGTACTGAAATTTAATTTGACAATATATGATGATTTAAAAAAAAATATGACGGAATAAAGGCTAATTTCTTAAAATATATATTCTTTCAAAGGCAAGTATAAAATACGAAAAAAAAAACCCATAACGTCAACAACGTCAAATATTATTCGCTCCAGATAATGTCCTTTTTATATTAAGGGGCAGAGTTTTAAAACAATTACTAATTTCTAATACCTTTTTTTTTAAAAAAAAATTATGCATGAGCGGATGGGGGGAGGGGGGTCCGGACCCTCTGGAATTTGCCTAATTATTAAAAGTATATACTGAAGCAAATCAAAAAATGACTTTGGACCGCCCTTTCCCTAGAAAACGTGGACCCAACCCAACCACCACAACGAAATAGTTTTTAGCTCACCTGAGCCGAAGGCTCAAGTGAGCTTTTCTGATCACATTTTGTCCGTCGTCCGTCCGTCCGTCTGTCTGTCTGTCTGTCCGTCTGTAAACTTTTCACATTTTCGACTTCTTCTCAAGAACCACTGGGCCAAATTCAACCAAACTTGCCACAAAGTATCCTTGGGTAAAGGGGATTCAAGTTTGTTCAAATGAAGGGCCACGTCCTCTTTCAAGAGGAGATAATTAGGAATTAGTGAAAAAATAATGGCATCATTTAAAAATCTTCTTCTCAAGAACCACTGGGCCAGGAAAGATGAAACTTATGTGGAAACATCCTCAGGTAGTGTAGATTCAATTTTGTTCAAATCATGACCCCTGGGGGTAGGGTGGGGCCACAATGGGGGATCAAAGTTTTACATAGAAATATATAGAAAATATCTTTAAAAATCTTCTTCTTAAGAACAGCAAAGCCATGATTGGTCATATTTATATGGAAGCTTCCTCGGGTAGAGTAGATTCAAGTTTGTTCAAATCATGACCCCTTGGGATAGGGTGGGGCCACAATGTGGGATCAAAGTTTTACATAGAAATATATAGGAAAATATCTTTAAAAATCTTCTTCTTAAGAACAGCAAAGCCATGATTGGTCATATTTATATGGAAGCATCCTCAGGTAGTGTAGATTCAAATTTGTTCAAATCATGACCCCTGGGGATAGGGTGGGGCCACAATGGGGGATAAAAGTTTTACATAGAAATATATAGGAAAATATCTTTAAAAATCTGCTTCTTAAGAACAGCAAAGCCATGATTGGTCATATTTATATGGAAGCATCCTCAGGTAGTGTAGATTCAAATTTGTTCAAAACATGACCCCTGGGGTAGGGTGGGGCCACAATGGGGGATAAAAGTTTTACATAGAAATATATAGGAAAATATTTTAAAAAATCTTCTTCTTAAGAACAGCAAAGCCATGATTGGTCATATTTATATGGAAGCATCCTCAGGTAGTGTAGATTCAAGTTTGTTCAAATCATGACCCCTGGGGATAGGGTGGGGCCACAATGGGGGATAAAAGTTTTACATAGAAATATATAGGAAAATATCTTTAAAAATCTTCTTCTTAAGAACAGCAAAGCCATGATTGGTCATATTTATATGGAAGCATCCTCAGGTAGTGTAGATTCAAATTTGTTCAAATCATGACCCCCGGGGGTAGTGTGGGGCCACAATGGGGGATAAAAGTTTAACATAGAAATATACAGGAAAAAATCTTTTTCTCAAGAACAGAAAAGCCATGGTTAGTAAAATTGATATGGAGGCATCCTTGGGTAGTGTAGAATGAAATTTGTTCAAATGAGGGACCCCGGGGGTAGGGTGGGGCCACAATGGGGGATCAAATTTTTACAAATGAATATATGGGAAAAAATCTTCTACTCAAGAACAGCAATGCCATTTGTTATATTGATATGAAAGCATCATCAGGTAGTTTAAAATTCAACCCCCACCCCCCACCCCCTTCGTTAACTTTTCAATACTAAACTGATTTTTGCATTTTTTTTCCTAGCCAATGTGCTCAGGTGAGCGATGTGGCCCATGGACCTCTTGTTTTTTCACGTGAGTTAAATGGATTTTTTTTTTAAATTTGCTTGTCAAGAAATTTTCGGGGATTGATACGTTTTGGAAAGCAGGTTGGTTTCTGGTTTGATTTTTTTAACTCTCGGGGGTGGTGTGGGGTGGGGTGGGGGGGGTCCGGGGGTTGGACCCCCTTTATTTCTTTATTTTTTTGAGAGAGAGATTTTCGGAAATATAAATATTTATACGTATTATATTTTGAATAAAATAATTAATTCAATATCTGCACTTTCTGCTCGCTAGATAGTTTCCCGTAATTGCTTTCCTCAGCGTACCTTCAGAACCCTGTCACTGGCCCCGACCACCCACAAGTAACTTTCAAGGTTTCACTTTGATATCATTGGAAATTCCGACGAACTTAAGCTATGCCATTTTTGGACCATCTTCTGAAGTAACTAACTTTAAGAAGCAAGCATTGTTACAACGCGAAATGTAATAACAACGCAAAATGTAATAAACCGGGATTATTGCATTCTGCGTTATTACATTTTGCGTCGAGATCAACGCAAAATGTAATAACACGATTTTAGGATTAATACATTTTGCGTCGTTACATTTTTGTCGAGATTAAGCAAAATGCAACAACACAAAATGTAAAAACACACTTTTGTCAGTCAGATTGAGAATAATTTTCAATTGAGTAGTGTATGAAGAAAATAAACGGAAAGAAAATAAAACAAAAGGAAAATAAACGTATTTTAATTCTCACATTAGGTCTGATTTCATCATATTTAGATTTATATTAGCCATTTAGAATCAGTTGATATTCAAATCATAGGTGTTGGAAATTAGAAACGTGCGTGTGCACGCGTGTGTGTGTGTGGGGGGGGGGGGGTATTAAATCAGTGTATCAGTTTGCTTCTGCTTTTTATTAGGCACAAGCATGAAATTTAGAAAAGAAATCTATTTATTTTTACTGGTAGGTGTAAATATAGCGGGGAGGGGGTTTCTTGACAAACAATTTAGATTTTATACTATTTTACAAATCATGTGCAAAAATAAAATTTCTCTCTCTCTCTCTCTCTGAACCAGAGGAAACTGAGAGGCAGTTAAAAAAATGTCATGTTGTTTTGTAGAACAGCTGTAGAATGCGTTGCATTCCCTCCTTGCTCCTCCCTCTTTTCCAAAGTAGAATATGTTCACTTGTACATGTTGTCACATGGCCGTAGGAACCGGGGGGGGGCGGTTTTGCCGATATATAGATTACTATATAAAAGATAGCTACTTTATGCTTGTGCCCCCTCAAAGGACAATAAAAAACGTCCGATGACTTTTTTTTTGCTTGTCAAGGAATTTTGGGTAGTTGATATCCCCCCACTAAAAATGTACGCCCCCCCCCCCAAACTGAAATTGTTTCCAACAGGCTTGTGTCAACCATTACCAGTGATTTTGACAATACTTAGTCTAGCTTGTGGAGCATGATCGAGTAATTTTTGGCTTGTCAAAATATTCCCCTTCCCTAATATACCCCCTTCCAATGGCTATCACGGAGAAAATACTTTCTAATACTTTCTACCTTTCACACATTTTATGCACCAGTGACCTGGCGCGGGCTTTTGATCACGTGAGCTGGTACTCATTCACTTCAGATTTCACTGAGCTATTGACGACATATTGGCGATTTTCAAAGCAACATTTGGCGATATTTCTACTGGATTTCACGGCGACTTGGACTACTACAGAGTTTTCCTGGAACCTTTATCAACTGTAGAAAAGTACTGTTTCTGCAGCAACATAATTCAGCTGAGTTATAAGGGAACTAAGGTAAATATATTAGTTGGACATTTCCCTCCATTTCAAGTGGAGGATGATCAAGTCAGTGATCCAAGAGCAGCAGAGCTTTAGATATAATTATTTCAGGTACATGTAGTGTAAGTAACATGTATACAGTATTTATATAGATGTTGTCTTTGTTTCTGATGGTGGTCACTTTGTTGAATGGTCTGTCAGAGGAAATCAATGGGCCATAGTTTAAAAGCTCAGAAAATAGTATCATAAACATGAAAAAGTCTTTGTGGTTTATAGTGGGTTAAGATGCAAATACAAATAAAATTTTGTTAGTGTAAGCATTGGTGTGTATTACCCTGAATTGACCTGTGTTTCCATGGCTACAGTGGCCATTTTGATTATACCCATTGCATGCACAACTACACTTGGTGATTATTATCATGGTGGCTTGCTTATAACAGGTCCAGTACAAGGACTATTTCTACCTATGTAGCTATTAATAGCTGCATAGGTATTTAAACCTACCCAAAGTAGCTATTTAAATCTACTTTTTGCATTACTTGCATTTTCTGGTCAAACGGCCAAACATGGTGAGTACCAAATTTCTTATTACAGTCACACTGATGATGAATACAACAAAATTTCGGCCAAAAAATGATTAAATCGTAAATTAAATTTATGAAATAATCATTTTTTGGTCAAAATTTTGTTTCAAGTCCAATTAGTGCTACCTTTATCTAGTACAAACCAGTAGAGCTACAGTCTCGTCAGAAACTTCTGGTCCTTTTATGTATCAACAGTAGTGGGTTTTCGTCCATATCCTATTAAGATGCACACTGTGTATGATTCACAATTAGCAGCTTTTTATTCATTAATTTTCCTCTTGAAATAAAAATGTTGAAAATGTTTTAATGCCCCCGCCATAAAATGGCGGGGGGCATATAGTGTTTCTGTCATTTTGTCATCATTCACTTTCCGTTCATTATCTCTGCAACAGTTGCAGTATGTATAAGGTTGAAATTGCATATGCAGATATTTTACCAGAAAATACAGGTCAAGTTAAAACTAAATATGACATTTGAGATTTTGGCTTCCAGCGGAGGCATTCGTGGCGTTAGGACACATCTAGTCTGATTTTTTGCTGCTATCCTAGCTGGTTAAAAATTTGTCACATTATGAACTTTGAAAGATGCTTTCTGTAATTTTACGATAGAAACATTTAATTCAAAATACACATCTTGAAGTGAATGAAAACATGGAATTTTATACATGTGGTGTCGAAATCCACTGGAAAAATTGAAAGGAAAGACTGTGGACAGGAAAGTATTTTAGATTATCATAAGAAATGATTTTTTTACCAAAGAAAATAGTGGGCTCCAAAATATCAATGCGGGCTAGTAAAACTTGTGATTTAGTAGGGGGCCCAAATGGCCCATAAGTTTTAAATGTCATTTTCAACCCTGAAATCCAGTGAATATGAATTTAGTATTATGAACCATTTGCAATTGTATAGATTATATAGGGATTATAAATAGACTACCCTAAAGTCACGGGTATTGGCCGCAATGGTGTAAAAGATGCACCCCCCAAAGTTGGGTTGAAAATCCCTAAAAAAAAATGCAGGTCCTATGTAAAATGTAGGGCTGTGTATTGAGCAAAATATTTCGATACGATACGATACGATATTTTATAAAGCGATATGCGATATATTGGATTGTTTATCAAGTCTATCAAAAATGTCTTGTAAA